TATTTCGCCCCATGATCTGCTTCTAAAATTAGCTTCACACACTGACTTGGAAATGTTACCCCCAGCTTATCCTTACTTTTGGCAGGATACTTGGGGAAGAGATTCTCAGAGGATCCTCTCTCTCACATGATTCAGGGGCCAGGATTGTRCTCTGACAGATAAGACCGAAACAATTCTACTTCCTCTCCCCAGGGATAGCATCATGCCCTTGCGGACTTCTASCCAAGCATAGGCTCCTTCCTTCAGATTATCTCCTCAGAATCTCTGAGAAGGCAGAGGCCATCCCCCCAGGCTTGTCATCCCTACTTGTTTCCTTCAGACTTACTGTGACAATATCTGTTGAGGGAACATCATCACTCTTTCAYGACTTCTTAAGTATAATTGCGAAATGCTTATGCCAGGCAGGTGATCTTCACATTTCTGGGCCTTTCCATCTACCCGTATTCCTACAATCACATTGCAGGAATCATAGAATCACAAAATGGTTTGGGTTGGAAGGGACCACATATCATCTAGCATCAACCCCCTGCCATGGGGGACACTTCCATAAGCCCAGATTGTTCAAAGCCCCATCTAACCTGACCTCAAACACTTCCAGCGATGGGGATCCACAACTTCTCTGAGCCACTCTGTTCCAGTGTCTCACCATTCTCACAGTGGAGGGTGATGATGAATTATCGAATGCCATCTGTAAACATCTCTTGTTCTTCTTTAACTTGTATGAACCCAAAAGCTTATGATCCTGAAGGAAGTTTGGGGAGAGGTGAACATTTATCTCCTTGCAACTAGTGATTTTTCTCCTCTGGCAACTCAAGTGGCAACACTGACAAAGAAAATGAAACTGTGCTGAAATACCTCTGTGCACTTCCCATCTCCCGTCGAACTTCCAGCAGCCCTGTGAAGCAGCACACAGTGACCCCTACAGTGGGAAGATGCCCAGTTTGTAGCCATGCACAGCTCTACAGGATGTATTCACCAAGCCACTGGCTTGGGTGCACTCATGGCTGCAGGTGTGTGCCGGTCCCCTAGGGCCTCCAAGGGCCAGGAAAGGAGTGTCAGGAGGATATGAGCTCCCTGTAGCCTGAGTTGCAGACTGTGTGGCCTCCAACACGTCAAACAAATTCATCTAGGAAGAGAAGCGCTCTAGGCAGAGAAGTGTGACTCAATTATTTAGCTTATGAGGACAGAGGCATGTGAGCCAGCAGCATCTCAAAGGAGTGGGCTTATGCTATCAAGCTCTCAAATGTTTGGGTATTCAAGTTGATTTTTGGATGTCCTCTCTAAGGTTACCTGGAAAATGTCCTTTATTCTCTGCCATTTTCTATTCAATTAATCCATTTCAGCAATATCAGGCYTCTTGTCTCTGCAATGCTGTATGTCCTTAGCACTACCTCTTTCCCTCTCCTACCCCCACAATTACACACCAACTGTGTAGCCTCTCTCAGTTCCTCTCACTGGCCAYTGCTCTTGCCTTTTCCAATTTAAATCTGAGCCTGGTTGCACTCTGTCTCTCCAGGTGGTGAGAGCACCATTCATCTCCTTCAAAATTTTTGTTCTGCAGTTTTTCAGTCCAGATCATCTCCTTCCCTCCTGTGTTGGGGATTTCTCCAGAGCCATCYTCTGTTCCAGTCAGTCCTGTCTTCTGTCCTTTCAAGAAAATTACTGCTGCTGCTCATGGACCTGAACCTGCTTATGCTCCTAATGCCAAATGGGTTGACACAGTAGTGTGAGCTCTTGCTCAGATCCACCCAGACTTATCACSCTGCAGCAGACTTATTGCCTGGCACTGTTGACGCAGAAGGAAATATGAGTTATGAGTTACAATGGAGATAAATTCCCCACCTGTGGCTTGCACTTTTCATTTCCCAGCCTTGGATAATGTGACTGCTGCAACGTGTCTGTAATAACACAAACCCCTTGTATGACTCCTTGGCCACACACTACTGTTTTGAAAGATTCAAGGCAGAAAGCCTCCAGAACATCCTTTTCCTCCATGGCCACTGGCATGAGAAGGCTCAGAAGTGTGGGAGCAGCCTGCACTATGACAGTCAGGCTGCAGGACAATATCCTGAGTAGCTCACGAGTAGCCACGGGGAGTCGACCGGTGCCTGAGGGCTAGAAGTCTAGAAGTCCCTTGTCGCGTTCCAACCGTGGGGAWCTGCGAGGAGTTCTTTRAAAACGGATGGTCGAGAACGAAATGAAGTCAAACGAGACAAACGCTGTATCTGAGAACCATTTATTGGTAACGAAAACCGAGAAGAAATAGTTGCCCACTAAAGGGGGCTGCAAAAGACAGCAAAAGAGAAAGGAAAATGGAAAAGGAATGGGTAGAGAGAGAAAGGAGACAGAGGGAGAGGGCAGGCATTACCACCAGTAGGAGCGGGGGGTSCTGTCGGTGTCCACATGACGGGGGTGAGCGCTGCTGCGGAGGGAGAGCAGCTCGGGGAGAGGAGCGGCCCGGCGGTGATGGGCTGCTGGACACRCGGTGAGTGGACACTCGGACAGGACCGGGACCCTGCGTGGAGTCGAAGCGAGGATCGCGGMGGCGGGCGAGGTCGGAGGCAGGCAGGTGGCACAGGCAGGACAGGCGGCGGCTGGGTCAGCGAAGGARCGAGGAGAGGCAGTGGAGGCTTGGAGGGCAGAYGGMRTCCTGCCAAGTGCCCAGGKGGGAAGGCRGRTACGTGGRGGCGAGAGAGAGTTAGCGAGGGCAAAATCCAGGCAGGCTGGAGCCGGGGCAAAAAGGACCCCTCAGCAGCAAGCCCACCAACAGTGAGCAGCAAAGAGCAAAAAAAACCCAGCCACACACACAGAGACAGACGACCACCCCCAACTCCAGCTYAGCAAAGTCGCCCATCCCAAATTCTCAGCTGATTTTTTTCCCCCCGGCTCCTCCCAAAGTTTGCCTGCTGACGAGGAGACCATTGGTCCAGTCCATCCTTCTTCCATTGGTGGAGACCTTCCACCATCTGATAGGAGAAATGTCTCTGGGATGAGCAGTGTCTCCAGGTGTCCATGTGAGCTGTTGCCAGGTGAAGTCACCCCAGAGACAAGGCTTCACCCATCTCCTGTTTGCCTCCTGCAGGCTGCACGTGTGTRCCCCTTCCCMCMCSTGCCTCTGACATGCAGTGTTGAGGCAAACCAAGATTAAAATGGCTCCTCACATCCTTGTCTAGACACTCTTACCTGGAGGGAAGAGAAAATGACAGGAGCAAGGCAAGCAAAATGCTTCCCTGTGGCATGTAACTCAGCACTGAAAAAATAGAAAGATGACAAAGATCAACCTACCTGTACCTTTTAAGGTAAAGACACGTAGATAACACTGCCCGTGAGTCAGATGTGTGACTGGTATCAGTGGATTTTGGACTAAATAGCCTTCAGTGAGCATTTTGGTGATGCTACCCTAGCAGCTCAAAATGTGCGGAACTTTTKAAATGCATTACAGTGTTAAGACAGTGTTATGCTGCTTTTTCAAACAGAATTGTTCTTAAGTTGTCCAAGTTCAAAGTCCAGAGAATGACATATGCAACATTTTGTAGCTCTTGCAACATGCTCACCTCCCAGATTAGATTGAGGTAAGTAAAAAAGAAAAACAAATGACTGCTCAGAAGTGCTCCACCCTTGCTCTTTTAATGGTCCTTTGCTGAGATCTAAAAAGGTAATGGTCTGGTGCCAAACAGTAGATGTAACTGTGTCTTTTCCTATTTTCAGAGCCCAAAAGTGCTGTTGAGGTATGGTGACCGGTGCTATTGAACCCAYCAGACTATATGGGAGGTAAGCCATAGAGTGCCAGTTCCCCGAAAGAAGGGAACACCTCTTACGTTTACGTGGCTCCATCTCTCAATTACCAGAAGAGCCGATAAAACAAGAAAAGTCTTCAAAATCGTGAGCGACCTGGGCTTACTTAAGTCGCTCGTTTGGAACAGAGCCGGACCGAAGGAAGGCTGCGTTTTGCAGCTTCACTTCCACCCTCTCCGCTCCGAGAGCGCGCCCAGGCGCGGCAGCCGAAGCCTCCGGGGGTTGAC